GCGGAGGATAAAAACGATCAAATCTGTTTAGTGAAACAACAATAGAGGCTAACAGAGATAGCGGTTCGTGCTAATGCTAGCTAACAGACACCGGATATTTCCGAAGGTCCCAGCCCTCACCGAAACCATAAACCTCTCGGAAAATATAACAAGACAGTGTATTACCTTCTTGAAATTTAGGTTTCGGGTCCTGTTTCGGCGCCATTCACGGATTAAACTAGCAAAATATGGGGAAAATTGCTAGCTTCCATTCCAGTCTGAAACGGTGCCGCTCTCTACATACGTCATAATCAACGCGATGACGCAATAATACCGCGACCAAAGATGTGGCTCACGATGAAATGCCACATTTTAATTTATGCAGAGTGACAATAACAAGTAAACGTGTTTTTGAACGTCTGTGTTGTATATTTTTCTCTCTACATTTGTATTCCGGTTTTTTAAAATGATAATAAAAAGTATGTTATTTGTATATTTATATTGCTGCTCCTGAATGGTCCACAAAATGTACCACATACCACATTTTTAGTGTATGAAAAAACAGAATAGAAAAATAAGTAATTGTGGCACCTCTATCGTCATCATTCTGAAGCTAAAAAACATATAGGGATCAGGTGAGACTTAATTGAGGAGTTTTATGAGAAAATAGTGTATACAGATTATGGCTTTACTTGGTCATGTCTATCACCCTGATTCAGTATAGGGTTTCACACAAAGCATTAAAAGCTCCTTTGGTTTTCCCGGCTGTACAGACCCCGTTGCAGCTTTATTTGTGCCAGTTTTTGGCTCTTATGTGCAGATTGGTTTGGCTCACTCACAAAATGCAACCGAGCCATTGTGTTGCTATTGGTTACACCTAACCAAAATGTGTGCTCAAATTGTGATTTAAGGCAATGTGTTATGAAGATAGAGATGTGCCATTGGCATAATTACAAAGAGAATTAAATTAAAATGGATACTTTTACTATCAACTGATAAATTAAAGTATCATTTGAATGTTAATAAACTCACTTATTAATACAGCGATTATTCAATGAATGAGTCTAGAGTATTTAGTTGTTTGTCTATTGTGACAAATTAATAATTCAATTTAAAAAGGAAATTAAATGAATGAAATGTATTTATAAAATACATTTCTCCTTTTGCTACATGTGTGTGATTCACATACACCACCAGGAGCCTGCCCTGCATTGTGACATTTCAAAATGTCTTTGATAATGTTTATTATAACTAAACACAGCAAACTCTACACTTCTGTGTCTGACGTTAGGCCACCAACAACCTCATGCCTCCCTCTAAACACAGGCCATGTGAATAAAAGTCATATGAAAGCAAGTTTCTGAACAAGGACATTTAAAGCTTGATCTTACCCTGAACTGTGTTAACTGTAGCTGCAATACAATAAGCAGTCTATGAAACATTGCTTAGTTAATTCAAAGGTACTAAATTGGCCTCTGATTTAAGGGTTTTTATGTTAAGAATAAGTTGAGTGTAACCACATTAGTTTCCAAATCGATCAGTAGGCAATTTGAATGTTTAGCCATAAATATAGAAGTGGCAAAGGGTCAACAGGTCATGGTAGTGAGTTGTTACAGACCCCCCTCAGCTGTCAAAGACTCCTTGTCTTCACTAGCAAATCTTTTATCACAACTAGACTACAAGGAAATAGTGCTACTTGGAGATTTTAACTGGGACTGGTTAACTGCAGTGTCAGAGGATTTTAAAAACCTTTGTATCTCTTTGAATGTTACTCAGATTGTTGACAGTCCTACTCGCCCTAACATTAAGTCCCCAAATAAATCCTCCCCAATAGATCTCATTTTAACTAATGTTCCCCATAAATATTCATATGTGGGAGTATTTGCAAATGATCTGAGTGATCACTGTGTTGTAGCCACAATTAGGGACACTAAGGTCCAAAAGGTTAAACCTCGTGTGGCGGAGTGGTGAGCCCCCAGGTGGCGTTGTCCGCAACCGACTTTAAACACCTACCCTCACCACTCCGCCACATTCGCATTATCATTAAGAGAGACAAAAAACATTTTGTGGAGCAGGGTTTTGTGCATGATCTGTTTGATTTTGATTGGGGTAAATCGATCTGTGTGCTGATGTAGAAACCGCATGGTCTTATTTTTATCTTGGTTTTATGGAGATTATTACATTACATTACATTGCATTTAGCTGACGCTTTTATCCAAAGCGACTTACAATAGGTGCGTTCGTCCAACAAAATACAACTTGAAGAAAACAGAATCATAAAAGTACATCAGGTTTCATAGAGCAAAAACATTTCAAGTGCTACTCAACTGGCTTTAGAAAAGCCAGTCCTTTATTAGTATAAAAGTGCTTCGTTAATAGTTCTATCGCTCGAAGTGGAGTCGAAAGAGATGAGTTTTCAGTTTGCGCCGGAAGATGTGCAAGCTATCTGCAGTCCTGATGTCAATGGGGAGCTCATTCCACCATCTTGGAGCCAGGACAGCAAACCCACGTGTTTTCGCCGATGGGAACTTGGGTCCCCCTCGCAGCGAGGGCGCAGCGAGTCGTTTGGCTGATGCAGAGCGTAGTGCACGCGCTGGGGTGTACGGTTTAACCATGTCCTGGATGTACGAAGGGCCAGATCCATTCGCAGCATGGTAAGCAAGTACCAGTGTCTTGAAGTGGATTCTAGCAGTTACCGGAAGCATTGATAGACATGCACCCCTGCGTAAATTTAGAGTAAAGGGACGAGACAATCCTTGGTTTTCTGCTAATCTGTCCAGTCTCCTTCATGAGAGAAACAAGGCCTGGGCAAAGGCTAGGAAATCAGGCTCAGAGGTAGAATGGCTGCATTTTAGGCAGCTAAGAAATAGCTTCACTTCACATATCAAAAGTGCTAAATCAAAGTACTATCTGTCAGTTACCACAAAGAATCGGAATAATCCTGGAAAATTTTGGAAAGCCATTAAATCGTTATCCACCGGCGATATCCGTAATGAGCTACCTCCGTACAGCATCTGGCTCTATATCGGACAGGGCTACTATGCTAAATTGCTTTAATGAGCATTTTGTGTCCTGTGGTTCTCTATTTGATTCTGTCACTAACTCTGCTTCTGTGAACACTACAGTATGTGACTCTGAAAAACGTATGTTGGAAAACCCTTTTAGTTTTACCCCTTTTACTGTTGATGTTGTTCGTGAAGCTTTAACCAAGTTAGATCCTAAGAAACCGGCTGGCCCGGACAACGTAGAACCTTTCTTTTTAAAGATAGCTGCAGATGTTATTGCTCTTCCTCTCACTACTCTTTTTAACCTCTCCCTCAGCACTAACACAATTCCAAAATTGTGGAAGTCAGCGTATGTCCTGCCTTTGCTAAAAGGAGGGGAGGCCACCTTATTAAATAACTATAGGCCAATCTCTAAGTTGTCAGTTCTGGCTAAGGTTCTTGAACGTTTAGTGAGTGAACAGGTAAAGGTGTTTTTATGTACAAATTACATCCTGTCTAAACATCAGTCAGGCTTCAGAAAGCAACACAGCACCATCACTGCCACAATGAAAGTGGTGAATGATGTGGCGAGTATTTTAGATAATAAGCAGAGTTGTGCAGCTCTATTTATTGACCTGTCCAAAGCGTTTGACACCGTCGATCATCACATTTTAAAGCAGAGGCTAGCTTAGGCATGTCCAGCCATGCAGTAGGGTGGTTTGTAAACTACCTCTCTGAAAGGTCCCAATGTGTTCATTTTGATGGGCTGTCTTCTGAGTGGTTGAACATTGCAAATGGTGTTCCCCAAGGTTCTGTTTTAGGTCCACTTGTATTCTCCATCTACATCAACAGTTTAGGTGAAAATGTGGATGAAGCTACTTTACATTTTTATGCGGATGATACCGTGTTGTACTGTGCAGGTCCCTCCATTAAGGAGGCCGGTGTTAAATTACAGGCTGTTTTTAACATTATTCAGACTCGGCTCTCTGAACTAAAGCTTCTTTTAAATGTTGAGAAAACCAAGGTAATGCTCTTTTCTAAAACTAAAAAGACACCAGAGCCTGTTTTAGATATTGTAACTACGCAAGGAATACAACTTGAAGTGGTTACCTGTTACAAATACCTTGGTATCTGGCTTGATGATTGCCTCACTTTTAAACTTCATGTCAATAACCTGCTTAAAAAGCTGAGGGTTAGGCTAGGTTTTTTCTACAGAAATAAGTCCTGTTTCTCGCTTGAGGCCAGGAAAAGGCTAGTCACTGTGACCTTTTTACCTGTGCTGGACTATGGTGATTTGATTTATATGAATGCACCTGCCAATTGCCTGGTCAAGTTAGATGCTGCGTATCACAGTGCACTAAGATTTGTGACAAACTGTAAAGCATTAACCCATCACTGTACCCTGTATGCAAGGGCTGGTTTGCTTTCACTAACTGTACGGAGGCTCAGTCACTGGTACATTTTTATATACAAAGCCATGTTAGGGAAACTTCCATCTTATATCTGCTCCCTGATCTCACAGAAAAGTATAAGTGGCTACTGCCTGAGATCGAATGTTGTGGTTTTATTAAATGTGCCAACTGCTAGGACTGTCTTAGGGAAGACAGCTTTTAGATGCGCAGCTCCTCTGTCTTGGAATAGTCTGCAAATTAAATGGAAACTGAACAATCTGATGCCACTAAATGTTTTTAAAGCTCGGTTGGATGCTACTCAATCGGAAGCTATTGGTACCTATTTATGTGGATAATTATGTAAATGATGCTGTATGATGTCCTTTTGTTGTTCTATTTATGTTTTTATGTTTCATGTGGAACTACTTGAGCAGGTCTCCCTTGAAAAAGAGATCAATGATCTCAATGGGATTTATCTGTATAAATAAAGGTTTGAAATGAAATGAAGCGTATGCTTTTTAAAGTGTTTCAAAAGTTTGATTAAGTTTAGGATTTTCACCAAGCAACTAACTGGATTAGAAGACGTCTCAGTGCTTACGGTAACAAACACATGCAGCTGAACAAAGACTGTCACCAGAGACACTCCAAATGTGCACTTTCTTCTGTTTAATTCTTACAAATATCAAACAGCACAGTAGACCTTGTAGGAGTCAAATGATCAAAGCCTCTATTGAGTTATTGACATCATCTGATAGTAAAACAAAAGAAAATGTTACAATGCATGTCAAGCAACTATGACATTTTTAAATAGCATTAATTATATAATTACAAAAGAAATATCACATACAATGACAGCAATGTATATTCACGAATGAAATTAATGCTTAAAATATATATGATAATAAATAATCCTAATTGTAAGCATAAGTCAAGAAAAATAAAGGGAGGGGATGCGTCCGTAATAACTTCAATGGTTTTAACTTCTGGGCCAAAATGCATGTTGTGAAACACTCGAAGACTAAGCTATCACAGCTCTCTAAAAGGCGTCTGTAAATACACTTAAGAAAGAAAGGCTCTGCATCCTGAGGCCTCGCCGCAGAACAGCTCGCTCAGGACGAGCGTTCAGGTCATTCGCAGAGGCATGCAAAGCTGCAAACGACTAACGGCCCGTCCACACTACAGCTTCAAAAAAAGCTTGGAGCTGGGCGTGTGGGAAGCTCGACCAACAACCAATCACATGAATCTCCCGCCCCTGACACACACGCAGCGGTTTGATTGGCTAGAGCTTGTACTGGCATATGATTTGATTGGCTGACGCTTCCACTGAAAGCTTCAGAAGCTTCAAAAGTTTAACATGGCTCAACTTTTGCAGCCTGAAATGCCAGGAAAGCTCCGCTCTGCTTCCCACAATGCAGTTCGGCGAAAAGTGACGTCACCCCATTCAAAGTGAATGGGCAGACGCGTTAACCGTTTTTGAAGCTGTCGAAGCTGTAGTGTGGACGGGCCGTAAGTATGAATGCATCACTGCTCCATACAGCCTTTATGTAAAGAAGCAAGTGCTAAAATCAAACATAAAGACATCATGAAATGTTAAATAAAGAATGAAGTGGATCGGAAGCTAGCTCCGTCTTGAAAGAGGTCAACCTGTCACGTTTCTGTAGTTTCCCTGTGTATATTTTCAAAATAAAATAGACGTAGAAAAGTACACAACAAAGAGGCTGCTTGCTGGACTAGTGCCATTCATTCACACCGTGTAAAAGCCTGGTCTTACAATACTGACTTACTTCTTATTTATATGTATTTTAGGTACAGTCTAAACTATACACTATTGTTCATATTTGACTGAAACAGGCGAAGAGTGCAGTTATGACAACAGAAGGATCTAGCGTTTGCAATTCTAGTGGCAACAGTTCCTAGAGGCATGAGGAATGCTTCTTTAAAAAACCGCATACATACAACATAACTTACATCATAAATAATTTCTTAAGAATAATATGACCACAGCATGAGTGTCTTACAGAAAAATCTACAGTGATGGCTAAAATGGCCAGATCTTTCTGCTGTCAAAACATTTTGACAGATATGACGCCATTTAGAAAATAAAGAAAAGTTTTACATTTTCCTGTTTTACATCTATAACAATGCCCATTTTCTTTATATTCTAAATATCATGTTACATAAGGTATGACCTCATTGGGTTCTGTGCACATAACATTATACTGAAATAATGCCATCAACATGGAATATCGAAACAAAACTGTAAAAACCAGGTACAAAAGGTACAATATAATCAAAGGACCACGTGAAGGGGTGTGAAAAAGTCTTCAGTATTCACAGAAAAATATCAACTGAAGTAACTCACCGGATAAGAAGCGTCCTAAGTTTATATACATATGATAAGTAAAATTGAAAATAGATTTTCCTCTCTGTACATAGCACTGTATTCTTTCATCTTCTTCCTTATTTACAAAGACCTCCCGGTCTCCCTTGTCTGTTAGTTCTGAGTGGATCTAGTCAAGAGAGATAACGTCAGATATGGAGCCAAAAATGGCCGCCGCCGCCGCTGCAGCTTCCACCGAGGACCTGGACAGTCCTGAGAGGTTGTCCCTGTCCCTGTCCCGCTCTCTGTCTTTGTCGCGGTCCCGCAGGCTGCTGGAGGACACCAAGCTGCTGGTGCTGCCACTGTTGCTGCCTCCGTTAGTGACGGCCAGCGTGCTGCTCCCCGGGGTGCCCGACTGCTCCCGCAGCATCTGAGAGGGATAGGGCAGGAAGCGGTTCAGGAGCAGGTCGTGGTCCTCTGAGGCGGACGCTGAGGCTGCTGCTGCGGCGGCCATCACCATGTTGTAATGCTAACAGGACAGAGAAGAGTTACCATTAACATTAAACTACCAGACATAAACAAGGGCAGTATGATTCTGCTGAAGGTCAGGTGTTGCAGTGAATATACCTGATTGTCGCCTTGGAGGAAGGAGAAGAAATTTAAATCTGTAAGAGAAGACACAAGACTCAACAACAAGGAACACACATTTCACTATGTTTCAATGTATAAAACATGCATTGCTTCAACATATTGAAACAAAGAACGGCTGCTGTAGTCTCCCGCCCACACTTGCTGTGAGGCTATACTTCTCCTTGAGCAGATGGAGCTGCAGCAATGACCCTAACACCTAAGGTAAGCTTCTTTACAGAAATTGCAGTAAATTGACAGGAATTGTGCAAAAAAAAAACCGAAAAAAACATGCTTCTCATAACTCCAGAAGCCTTTTCCATAATCAAAGTAAGTGATTGTGTTGTCTGTAGATATTTGAGGAAATTGCAAACAGGAACAGCCAATACCTAATTCACCAAGTAGTGGCTATTTAAAAAAAAAACATAGACAAATATAACTGTAAAAAATTGAATAGCACGATTATCCCTTATGTTGCGGTTAATCAAATATAAAAAATGACTACCGGTAGTTCAAATAGCAATGATAGTAATGGCAATTGCAGTGTGTAAGGGGGGCACCATTTGGTCAGTTTTGTCTGAGCACACTTTAAAGAGATGGGGCCGTTATCCACAGGCGTGATTCAAAGCCAAAACTAGTCTTCATCTTGGTAGAAATGCGATCACCCGACTATCAGGACATATCGCTCAACCACAGCTCAGCGTTGAGCTTTTCAGCTTTGGATGAACCTTAGAAGACATATTCCTTCTCCAACAGTATGGACTGAACACATGAATACTGTTGCTAATAATATTTCGATCATACATATGTGTTTATTGTATAAAGACAGACTCAGCTAAAGTTTATTGTAGTGACAGTCGTACCTGGCAGGTCACTAGTTGTGTGATAATAGTGGCGATAGTCCTGGATGAGGGGAGGGGGGGGAGGAATGTAGCTGCTCTCCTCAGGGGGCATGCTGGGATCTCTGCTCACTGGAGAGTCCTGGGTGTGTAGGTTCAGTACTCTGAGAGGAAACACAGCGACATCACATTAGTCGAACAAAGGAAGTAAGACACCAGAGCGGAGCACAAAGATCTTAAAAATACATCAGTTTACTGTTATCTAACTTCCTGTTTTGTGGTTTAGAGACTCACCCCTTGCTCGGAGGCGGAGAGACGGGGGACAGCGAGGGACAGGGTCTTTTGAGCGGCGGCTCGTCGTCCAGCTCCTCCTCTGAGGAGCTGTCGAGTGTCAGGTCGATCACATCCACTTTCTTGTTGTTGTCGTGTGATCCCCGCCTGTGCTCCTGCGGGTTGGTCTGAGACGAGTCTGAAAAAGGAACAGTTACCTCACACTGTGCTCAATCAAACACAGGAAGACCCTGAAATGCACACGCTACATACCGCTGTCTACGCCGTTGTACGAAGCGGACACCTCCTGCACCTCTCTCTTCGACCTCATGGGATGCCAGTTTCCATCTTCTTTGAACTGGATTTCATCGCAGTCAGAACAGCTATTCAGGATTTCCATGAACAACCTGAGAAAAACAGCAGGACAGTTCAAACAGTTTAGCACCGTTGCAACCAGTATAACATCAGCTTCAGTAGATCTTCATCCTTTAACACGGATCATTTGGAAATACAGTATTGTTGGAAATTAAAGCTGCAAATTATATCTGGGTTTTTAGGCAGTTATATATATATATATATATCTATCTCTATATATATATATATATATATATATCTATCTCTATATATATATATATATATATATAACTGCCAAAAAGCAGTATATATATATATATAAAAAAACACAGAAGGTTGCTTTGGTGCAGGCTTCAGGTACAAACACATAAAGCAGGTTGGTCAAGTAAAGCAACAATTCCATTATTTGGACTCCTAAGCACTCCTTAGATCCTTTGAACACATTGAAGAGGGAGTATTATGTAAGGTAAATTGCATTATGATCATGTCAGACAGTAAGCTAGCAGGAATGTGTGCCGTGTTGTGCTCACCCGTCGATAATGAGGTGTTCGTACGGTGCCTTCTTGTCGCAGACTGGACACACCCAGGTTGGCTTCTTCTCGTTCATTTGGATGTAAAGTGTAGCATCGAAGCACTGAAGGTGAGAACACGTGAGCGCTCTGCAAGGGATGGTCAGCCTCATCTTCCCCAGCTAATAGAGAAAACACAAAATAAATGTTACTTCATTAAATCATGTATGCACCATTTCGTTTGATTGGACATAATATAATAATAGGGCAAAGCAAAAAATGTCCTTTTAGTATCGAGTATGTGCTTTTTGTCTCCCACCCAAATAAAATACAGTCTTTTGTCATTTGAATTCCTAATTAAAGTTTGTTGATCGATGTTACGGCTGCTGCCTTCCGGGTCGTCTTGATTGTGTTAATCTGTGTGGTATGGAAATGAGCAGTGCGATTGCCCTGACGTCATTGGCTGCCATCTCCTGGTCCGCCCCCTCAGGATTGTGATTGGAGCACTCCAATCGCAGCGCACAGCTGACAATCATCACTCTGGAGGCTCTGTGATGTGGGACAGACACCTCTAGCCTCGTGGTGTATTTACTTGCTTGGTTGACGTTTAGTGCTGTGGTGTTATGTGTTAAAGCTATACTGTTTAGCAGCGTGTTAAATCTGTGCTTAGCAAGATATTGCTGTATAAATTGTGTGAGTAGAATCCAGGTTAGCTTAGCGGTTAGCGCCTGTTGATTACAAGCAGCTGTGTTTTTGTACAGCCTTTTTTCGTTTACTTATACCACTCTAGAAGTGAGGTTTTGTTTTCCTTTTGTGTATTACCCTCTGTGTACAACCTGTGAAACTCTCTTTTGGAGTTCTCTCTTTTGTTGATTGTTAGCGATCAGTATTTGGCACATTGTTTATGCCAGGCTGCACGCCTTTATTATTTTGTCACCACTATTTAATTATAATAAATCCTTATAACTATTACCAATTCCAACTGGTGTGTGTGGCACTTCCTCATCCCTAGTGGGGATGTAACAATCTATGAATAGGCGGATTGACAAACTGGTTCTGTAAGTATATCATAAAGGCTACTAAAATATTTCTCCCAACAATCTAAAATAACTTTTCTTTAGAGGAGCAGTGTGTAGTGGAGTATTTACAGGACACAGAAGAGAGACTCGTAGGCTGGTGGTGGCGATCTCACTCTCTGGATCAGCTGTTAACTTCTCTTTAACTGTCAGAGAGAAAAGACAAAGATTAAATGAGTGTTTCATTCAAGTGGATTCGTCAATTTGATCAATACACACTAAATAAAACAAGAGAACATGGAATAACCTATCTTTAATTCCGGATCTCCATGTCGTTGTCACAAAACAGTTGTGACAATATGAAAGTTAATTTATATGATTGTCTTTGACTTACTCAGAGCTCTTGAGTGGTCCGGGTTTCTTATTCCTTTGGCCCGTAGTCTTTGTAACAACACTACAGAGGACTGCTGTCTTACCAGATACACAGCCATGGAAAAACTCTGACAGAAAAAAGATAGAAATAATGAGTGAGTGAGTTACACCGACGCATCTAATGTCCTTTTTAAATGGGCTATGCAGATTGAATCCCAACGCTTTGCTAACGTCTTCTTACCCTCCCAATTTCTGAAGTCCATGACACCACAATGGTGTTGGGTACTGTGGTGGACAGTCGGACCAGAGAGGTGATGTTGATGGAGCGACTGGGCCTTTTTGGTTCAACTCCATTTTTGGTTGGGGGAAGATATCCCTGCAGAGAAAACATCCAACATCAGTGACCTCGATTCTCAGAAATTGGTGTCATGTTACACAGAAAGTATGATAAGATTATCCAACTACAAACTGTCGGGACTCACCGGGAGATTACAGGGTTTGCCGTTCACCTTCACACACAGATTAGGGGGGAAATGATCCTCCTGGGGACAGCTGGTCTCTGATAAACAAAATCTGAAATGGAAAAAAATAAATGACAGAAGCTTTAATGTGAAGGACAAATGTAAAAAACTAATATAAGCGCTTTGAGCTCCAGGAAAAGCGCTATATAAATGTAATGTATTATTAATGTGTTATTAATGTGTTTCTCATGCTAATCTAAAAACTTCCCAGCTTTTTTATTGAACATGCGTTAAACTGTAAAATAAAGAATATAGTTAAGGTTGAAGTTAAAACTTGGGTGAGGGTTAAAATTCTTTCATCTGAATCTGAAAAAGATGGACATAAATGACAAACTGTACAAATGACAACTATTTCTGGAAACCATCCATCCATCCATCTTCTCCCGCTTATCCGTGGTCGGGTCGCGGGGGTAGCAGTTCCAGCAGAGAGCCCCAAACTTTCTTTTCCCTGGCGACATCAACCAGCTCTGACTGGGGGATCCCAAGGCGCTCCCAGGCCAGCGAAGAGATATAATCCCTCCACCTGGTCCTAGGTCTACCCCTTGGTCTCTTCCCAGCTGGACGTGCCTGGAACACCTCCCTAGGGAGGCGCCCAGGTGGCATCCTAACTAGGTGCCCGAACCACCTCAACTGGCTCCTTTCGACGCGAAGGAGGAGCGGCTCAACTCCGAGTCCCTCCCTGATGACCGAACTTCTCACCTTATCCCTAAGGGAGACACCAGCCACCCTGCGGAGAAAACCCATCTCGGCCGCTTGTATCCGCGATCTCGTTCTTTCGGTCATGACCCATCCTTCATGACCATAGGTGAGGGTAGGAACGAAAATGGCCCGGAAGACCGAGAGCTTTGCCTTCTGGCTCAGCTCCCTTTTCGTCACAACGGTGCGGTAAAGCGACTGCAGTACCGCTCCCGCTGCTCCGATTCTCCGGCCCATCTCACGCTCCATTGTTCCCTCACTCGAGAACAAGACCCCGAGATACTTGAACTCCTTCACTTGGGGTAAGGACTCATTCCCTACCTGGAGTGGACAGTCCATCGGTTTCCTGCTGAGAACCATGGCCTCAGATTTGGAGGTGCTGATCCTCATCCCAGCCGCTTCACACTCGGTTGCGAACCGATCCAGTGAGTGCTGAAGGTCGCAGACCGATGAAGCCATTAGAACCACATCATCTGCAAAAAGCAGTGGTGCAATCCTTAGTCCACCGAACTGCAGACCCCCTCCCCCATGACTACGCCTCGAAATCCGATCCATGTATATTACAAACAGGATTGGTGACAAAGCGCAGCCCTGGCGGAGGCCAACCCTCACCGGAAATGGGTCCGACTTACTGCCGAGGACCCGGACACAGCTAAAGTAAAAAGCTGATCCGTCGTTCCACGACCAGGACGGAATCCGCATTGTTCCTCCTCAATCTGAGGTTCGACAATCGGCCTGACCCTCCTTTCGAGTACCTTAGAGTAAACTTTCCCGGGGAGGCTGAGTAGTGTGATGCCTCTGTAATTGGCACACACCCTCTGATCCCCCTTTTTAAATAGGGGAACCACCACCCCGGTCTGCCACTCCTTCGGTACTGTTTCCGACTTCCACGCAACGTTGATGAGACGTGTCAACCATGACAGTCCCTCAACACCCAGAGCCTTCAGCATTTCCGGGCGGATCTCATCCACCCCCGGGGCTTTGCCACTGTGGAGTTGTTTGACGACCTCAGTGACCTCCCCCCGGGAGATTGGTGTTGATCCCCCGTCATACTCCAGCTCTGCCTCTAACATAGAGAGCGGAGTTGTCGGGTTCAGGAGTTCCTCAAAGTGTTCCTTCCAACGCCCTAACACTCCATCAGTTGAGGTCAACAACGTCCCATCCTTACTGTACACAGCTTGGATGGTTCCCTGCTTCCCCCTCCTGAGGTGTCGGACAGTTTTCCAGAACAACTTTGGTGCCGCCCGAAAGTCCTTCTCCATGTCTTCTCCGAACTTCTCCTACACCCGCTGCTTTGCCTCGGCCACGGATGAGGCTGCTGCCCTTCGGGCCTGTCGGTACCTTGCAACTGCCTCGGGAGTCCCCCGGGATAACAAATCCCTGAAGGCCTCCTTCTTCAGTCGGACGGCTTCCCTGACCACCGGTGTCCACCAGGAGGTTCGAGGGTTACCGCCCCTTGAGGCACCTAGGACCTTGAGACCACAGCTCCCCGCCGCGGCTTCGGCAATAGAGGCTTTGAACACCGACCACTCTGGTTCAATGTCCCCAACCTCCACAGGAATGCCCGAAAAGCTCCGCCGGAGGTGTGAGTTGAAGGCCTCCTGAACTTGGGCCTCCTCCAGACGTTCCCAGTTCACCCGAACTACACGTTTGGGCTTACCAGGTCTATCCAGAGGCTTCCCCCGCCACTCGACCCAACTCACCACCAGATGGTGATCAGTTGACAACTCCGCCCCTCTCTTTACCCGAGTGTCCAAAACATACGGCCTCAGGTCCGATGATACGATAACGAAATCGATCATGGACCTTCTGCCTAGGGTGCTCTGGTACCACGTACACTTATGAGCATCCTTATGTTCGAACATGGTGTTTGTTATGGCCAATCCATGACTAGCACAGAAGTCCAGTAACAAACCACCACTCCGGTTCAGATCAGGGGGGCCGTTCCTCCCAATCACGCCCCTCCAAGTGTCTCCATCATTGCCCACATGTGCGTTGAAGTCTCCCAGCAAGATTAAAGAGTCCCCTTCAGGAGCCCCATACAGGACTCTTTCCAGGGTCTCCAAGAAGGCCGTATACTCTGAACTGCTGTTGGGTGCATAAGCACACACAACAGTCAGAGTTTTCCCCCCCATAACCCGCAGGCGTAGGGAGGCGACCCTCTCGTCCACTGGGGTAAACTCCAACAAAGAAGCACCTAACCGGGGACTTGTGAGTATCCCCACACCCGCCCGGCGCCTCACACCTTGAGCAACTCCGGAGAAGAATAGAGTCCAACCCCTATCCAGAAGTAAGGTTCCAGAGCCGACGCTGTGCGTAGAGGTGAGCCCAACCAGATCCAACTGGTAACGCTCCACCTCCCGCACAAGCTCCGACTCCTTCCCCCCCAGAGAGGTGACGTTCCACGTCCCCAAAGCCAGCTTCTGTCGCCCGGGTCTGGTCCGTCGAGACCCTCCGCTTTCACTGCCACCCTTCTGGCAGCGCACCCGACCCCATCGCTGTTTCCCGTAGGTGGTGGGCCCGCGGGACGGAGAAGCGGAGGTGTTGCCCACGTTGCCTTTTCGGGCTGGGCCCGGCCGGGCTCCGTGGCAAGCCCGGCCACCAGACGCTCGCCGACGAGTCCTCCTTCTGGGCCTGGCTCCAGAAGGGGACCCCGGGCTTCCTCCGGGCCGGGTATCCTCACTTCTTGTATCGTCTTTCATGAGGTCTTTTGAACCAATCTTAGTCTGGCCCCTTGCCTGAGACCAATTTGCCATGGGAAACCCTACCAGGAACACAAGGTTCCAGACAACACAGCCCCCAGGTTCATCAGGGCACACAAACCTCTCTACCACGGTAAGGTGCTGGTTCTTCAGAGAGGTTTATTTCTGGAAACCGAGCCCCAATATTCACTGAATGCAAATGTACTTATTGGTTAAAAGAGAAATGTATGTTCAACATACCTTAACTGGACTTGAACAGCAAAGTCACATTTGGTCCCAGAAATGTCCCTAAAGAAGTGAAAAGAGTCAGAAGTCAAATGAGGCTGGCCCAAAGTAAAACAGCATTTAAAACACATCAGTTTACTACGATTCCTTCTCGTCTCTTACCAGAGAGCTTTCTCACTTACATGGAGCTGCTGATCTGTGTAACTTGGTGCGGTGTTAATGCAAAGGCATAACATGCTTCCTGGAACCGCTGACTGTTGTCTGAGGCTACAAAAAAGAAACCACAACACAGCATGACTCTCAGAGGGGAAACCTTCAGCATTTCCTAGGCACCAATGGCAACTCATATTGAACTTTAACCAAGCACGGTTTTAAAAAGTCATGTTACAGATATCTGTGGTCACAATGCTCCATCACCCACAGCAGGAAGTGGTGGACTCACCCAAGCTGGTTGGCTTAATGAGCTCATCCAGAACGTCGTAGAATGGCAGTCTCTGCAGCTTGACATCGGGGTGAACAGGGTGCAGGGCGGAGGGGAGGTGGGACAGATTCAGCTCATGCTTCGGCCCGAGTAAAGACACCGGCAGCAGAGGCGAGGGGGAACCGTGGCTGTCAAACCCCAGCTGGGCGAGGCCAGCGGGCAGGCTGGAGGCCGAATGAACGCCAGGCAGAGCCAGGTCCACCGGCGAAACCATTTTGGTTGGGAAGCGCCGTCTGTAGAGCTCTTTGATCTTCATCTGCACTGCCGGACTGCACCCAGCCTTCAGTAGGTGGAGAGCTTTGGTCAAAAGTTCGTGTTTGCGGCCGTGCTTATTCCGTCCTGCATACCCCAACAACACCTGGAGCTCCGAAACTCGAAGGCTCATTACCATTTGCTGGAAGAAAAAAAAAGGTGGCCAAAATGGTCTATTATTACAATATTATTATCACAAACAAGTCTAATTTTCTCGTTTATACTTTACCACTTAAAGCATAACTATTAAATCACGTCTGATTTATATATTTCAAATCCTGCTTGGAGAAGTACGATTTATAGAGTTTCTTTGGACTGTGTCGGGGGTACAATAAAACCACACTATAAAAGCAGACACAGTATATTTAACAAACAAAGGCACTAACATAATTCATACTTAATCAACTTATAGCTGTAATGAATAAAGCATCACTGCACATGTTGGAAGTGATAATACAGGGGGGGAAACAATAGCATGAATATCTGCACAAAATAATGGAATATAATACAGCAGAGACGGCGTCTTGAGACAGTGTCAGAGAGGTGTCAATTCAAACTTTGAAAAGTAGCTTGTGAAGATGTATTAGCCTGCATTATACCATGCAGTGGTCGTTTTTGTTTTGCTTTAGGATATTTATATTTCCAACAAATACATTCTATAGTGTATATAGTCATTCTATAGTCCATCAAAGCAAAAGGTAATGTTACCTGATGTTACATTAAAAAGGTACTCATGTTTTCATGTCCACCATATGTATAGTACTCTCATGAACTACGATGTTTAAAACGTGCAATGTTGTTCTACACACCATTAAAACAAATAATGTTTGCATTAAAAGACAACCTGTCATTATGAAGAGCATAATGCAAATGTGGCTTTCAACCCACTTGATCAATCAAAGTCATCTGAATGTTAATTGACAATCCCAATTAGCTCTCAATGCTGGACTGGAAAAGCTGAATATTTTAGTAACCGTAAACATACCAATAATGCTTAATATCTGGCTGCTTAATACCACATATTGTGCCAGATGCAAGTGAAACATTGACATACACTCACTAAATGTAAATGATATACAAATGTATGTTAAATGACTTGTATACAGTATAGATTTAATAAAGCTAATAATGAGTTGAGGCAACAGTGCAGAAATTCGGACGTGAGGAGATGAAAACAAACCGTTTCACAAAGAGTGTTTTCTTTCAAATATGAATTACGTTCTAATATAAGAGGGTAGAAGAAGGTTGAGGGACACATTTAGCATAGGCTAGCTAACAGCGCCTGTGTGATACCGGTGTAATCTGACTGAAACAGAACCTAAAGACACATTATTTCGTTTATCTCGTCTATTCAAACAATAATCGCCACATAAACAACATTACAGTCAACACGACTGTGGATAGTGACCATATTTCGTGGACTGCTCCTTCACATCAAATACAAAATAACGCCAATGGAAGCTACATTGCGCTTGTCTTCCAGGGAATAGACACAGCCCATTTTAAAACAGATATTGCAGTTCACCTGATGCTCTACTGATAATGTCAGTTATCTAACACCACAGTGCCACCGGGTACAACACGTAGAAATGAATGTTGTTTTAGTATTTGTCTATAAGCGATATCTGGCCTTATCTGCAGGTGAGCCGCTCAGCGGAGGCAGCCTAACGGAACGTCGGCAACAATAACAAAGCTAATGCTAACGAGCTAGCCGGACAGCTAACAGCTGGTCCGGTCTTCACTGCTCTGTTGTTTTGGTATTAAATGCTTTAAAAGCAACACACATCGGGTCTCTATTTTCAAATAACAATGGTGCTATGATTTGAAATTCAAATCTTACTGTATGAACCGCTTATTTGTCAAGCTAATGAAGGGGCTCGCTTTACCTTCAGTTCCGCACTCTCCGCCATCTTGTTACATTATCTGCGCATGCGCAACGGCCATCCTCAAGGGACAGCGAAATTCAAAATTGAGTGTCGCTTCCTGACCTCATACAGCAGGGGGCGCTACCGCAGCATATACAAACTGTGTTGTAAGTAGATTTACTCAAGTACTGTACTTTAATACAACTTCAAGGGACTTCTACTTTACTTGAGTATTTAAATGTTTTCTTACTTTGTACTTGCTTCCTACCCACTAGCCTACGATTTAGCCTAAATTGGTACATGGTGTGCTTTTACTCCATTAGCCTATGTATTACCTTTAGTGAAGATTTGGATCAATGAAGTGAAATATAAAACAGCACTTAAATAAGACTTTAGTCACAGGAGTCACATTCACAAGCTAACCTGCAGCATACAAGTTAATTAAAAATATCTGCACATTTATAAGGTTTAATAAACTTAAATGCGCCAATAATTATCATCAACACATTATAGGAAAATGGGCCAATCTGCCTTAGAGTAGGCTACTTTTGTTGGTACTTTAAGTATATTTTGATGCTAATACTTTTACACGTTTTAAATGCAGGACTTTTAACAGAGTATTCTGGTGCTACTTAAGTATATAAGTATACTTCTCTAAATGTAGCCTATCTGAAGAACTGTATTCTGCTCGTAAAAGAGTGCATACAAAAAGGTCCGGTTAGGATGTTAATGTTTCTTCCCTTTTATTAAATGTACAGCCTGCATATTTTTTATCTTTAAGGATTAATCGATTATTTAAGTTATCATTGACAGAAATAAATGATTACCATATTGATAATCACCTAATCGTGTAAGCCATGCACAAATGATGAACAACATAAAAGTAAATAAATGTGCTGCTTTTCTCCGCTTTGAATCATTGAAAAATAAACACATGATATTTTGATTTAGACTGTTGGTCCGACAAAAACTTGAGGACGTCACCTTCAGCTCTGGGAATTGTATTTAGGCTAGCGACTATTTACTGCAATGTATGGCTATGTGAAAAATCAATTAGGCCTAATTGAACAAATATGTACAGGGAAAATAATTAGGCTAAAAGTTGCATTCATACAGCGTTTCTCATAAAATATGTTTTCTTATTGATAAGTTCCTCTTTTGGCGATCCATCAAGGGGCTACAAGATCATTTGAAAACACACAAAGGTCAAAGTTTCACATGAATCAAAAGCAGAACAATATGGCTTCTTAATTTAAGCGTTAGGCTATGGCCTAAATTCCTTTAATTCAAGTTGACAACAATGGGCATGACTCCAAATTTATTTTCATAAAATGATTTATTCATCAACGACAAAACAAATATTACATGAACAAGTAGGCTACTCTTAGAATATGTTGCAATACTTACAAGGTCGCAGTGTACAAATAGCTGACTTCTGTAAAGTCTTCAGAAACAGTAAGACATGGTTTGACGCTTCAAATAATTATATTGCAGGCCGATTTCAATGCACAATATTTTTTATAGAAATTACCATAATTTGTTTAAAGTGCATAACATCCAAATGAAGCTATTGGCCTGCAAAGAAGAACATAGAAAATGTATTAGGCTATGCACAATACTGAGAGGATAAAGAGCAATGAATTGGCTATTAAAAGCCTCCATTATTGACAAAAAAAGAGGAAATAACAACCTATTACACACATTGTCATTGCACTTTGCCACAAATAATAAATATCATCAATGGTATCATTTCAGAAAAACAAATTATATATGCAAGATGGACATAAATACTGAGGGTGTATACGCATTTCAATTCAATATATTACAAGTAATTACAAGTTAGTCTTCTTTAGACTGGATCCCTCAGAGGTTTTTCATGGTTTGACAGAAGATGTGTCCTTTGTGTCCCTTTTCTTTCATAAAATGTCATCTGGTTCAGGGTGGGAGGAGAGGAGATTTGAAGGAGCAGGATCCGCTGCAGTGGCGAGGAGTCAACATCTTACACGAGAAATGGTGTAAAGCGTCGTGAGCTTCTAAGAAGAAGGAGATGAAAGATCAATAGTGTACGAGCACGGGAGGGCAAATCGCATGCATTGAGAATGATATTAAAGTATAACACAGAATAGACGTATATGTATCAGGCTTTTGGGAGTAAAACTCGATTGGTTGGTTGATTCAAGGGGCATGCTCTAAAAATGTTTGGATGTTTTGATGTCAGTCAGTGTTGGGTGAAGTAGTATTGGCTGTCTTTGAGCCTTGAGGTGCAAACATAATCTGCATATCTTCTTAACTGTAATTCCCCTTGAATGTACAACAATTAGCATAACACGTAATCTGAATAGCCTCAAGAGTTTATTTTTTCTTGGTCCAAATTGCTGCACAAAGCGTCTAAGCTATGAGCCCAAGTCATAATTTTAAAACCGGAAGAAATATCTATTTTTTGTATTCAACAGGTTATAGCTGTATGTATTTTTTGGAAATTAATATGTTACAATAAAAATATTAACAATATAAATTGTGAGAAAAATCATGAAGTGTCTACCACATCCTTTCAAGTATTTGCGTGATGTGAGCACACTTTGCGCATCACAACCGTAAATGTAAGAGTCAACACACGCAAATCCTTGATATCTCGTTTATATAAAGCATCTGAGTTTATATGATGTCATCAATCACGTCGGCAACATGCCAGAGTAAATCTGTAATTCCGCTGCTTTATCCGCTCCCTCTGTTTTATGTCTCTCACCTCTGACGATGTGCAGCTGCTGAACCATCTCCTCCCTGTACGACAGTTCCCTTTTCATTTGATCCTGAAAATTATCTGAGGAACAAAAGGCATGTCAGATTATAGTCAGTGATGTGGTAAGTAAACTTCCTTAAAAAAACACATCCATTAAAACCGAATTCACAGACACAAAAAGCGTTCAATTAGCCACTATGCCTTATATGTGTCACATATTCACGATAACGTAAAAATGAAACACAAAGGTGAATATTAATTTAGTTGGATAAGGGCTCGCGATAGTTTCTTTCTAGTAGGAAGTGGATAATATTCACTTGCATGAAATACAACTGAGCAATAGAATGCTTAAACTGGTCCGGCCCGACTCACAGCCTCTAGAGGGCGCTGACATCAAGATAAAGCGAAAACCCGGCCTCTATAAAGGTCCAAAATGTACACTTCACATGCTGTGGTACAAATACTTAAATTACTTTCCATAGTAAAAAGAAAAAAAAGCATTTAGAAAAATAATTCAGTAAACATTAATTATATTCATTTAAAAATGCAGCTTTATTGCTGGATTTCTGAAAATGTTGGGTTCATGCAGCAAATACACAATACATCATGACATGTAAATGGTAAAACAGGTTGCAAAAGTCTCATCTCCTTTTATTCAAACTAGGCAACCTAAAACAAATCTTAATGCAAGGAACTGTTTAGATATTTTGTGTTGACTTGTTTGCAGACCCATGACAGCCATCCTTATAAGCAATTAGGTGCAGGTGGAATGAAAGCTGGTATAAATGTATAACAGAGCCATTTGCACCAAGTGTAGTAAACCAATAACGTAATACAATGCATGAATGCATTAAGAAGAAAAAAATGCAGATATGAGTAAGGTCTACCACACTGCTTTAAATCAACGTTAAGTAAGACGCATCACTGGACACTTATATGACATTTGTTGGAAGGTGGAAGATGATGGAACAATACAATCCAGAACCCCAAAATATACCCTATAAGAGTCTGAGGTGAATATACAGAAAACCCAATTTACATTCATTTATATACATCCTACTGACTTTGACATCATGTGTTTTTGCATAAAGGTGAGAGCAAAGAAATATAAATGCAATAAACCACAGGTTTTGTCCTAGATGTCTTTGCTGGTAAAATACTGCAGATTAGTGGTTATTTACACCCACAACTGATGGACACTCATCTTGATTAAATACACTGATCTTAAAATTAAACAATTTTCATAAAGACATTATAATGTCTTTGTAGAACATTCTCCTATTGCACATCTGAAATCTTGCTAAATGTAATTGCATATCTGGACATATGAGATAATGTTAATATTTGCCCCGCAGAGCATCAAGTCTCCAGTTTTCTGGGATTTAAAACACAGCACTAAAAGAGTAATTGAGATGTTTTCAAGCATTCATGAGAGAAGGAGAAACTCTGAACACTGCAGCAGTGAGAGTATGAGAGATATTGTGTCCTGCAATTCTCCTAAGATTTACATGAAGCATATCAGAGTTTATTCTGGGCGTAGATACCATTTTTAAGATTAAGAATTAGGACATTTTTTCCACCTGCAGAGTTTAAAGTAAAGCCACAAAAGTCAATAACATATTTTGTTGTCATTCATAGCGGCTGAAAATCAATTTTGATTTAATTTGAACCAAATTGACACTCTCCTCAGCTTTTACATGTTTTTCTTGTTAATAGCTTAATATCTTTTAGTGTCCAATTATATTCAAAACAAGCTATTTGTACTCACTATATTCATTTTTGATATCATTTTCATTGAGCCCCTAACTGCACCTGCTTCCCTTCAGAGAAGTATTTTCTAAGGGAGCAGGGATGTTTTTTGGACAAAAGGTTAGAATCACAAGCCTCTGAAATGTTTATTAAATGTGTCTTTGAAAGAACCTCTTCCCATCGGGAGTGTGGCCCTGAACCACTTAGGATTTTTGGAAAAATTGTGCCCTATAACAGATTTTGGCTCCGTAAAGCAGAGCCCAGGTGTGCCTCTGTTGATGTGGATTTGGTCGTGCCATGGCAAAGGTTCATGTTTTGGCCTGAATCAGAAACATGACCGGAGAGCAACACTCAACATGCACCAGAAATACTTTTGACTCTCTCTCTGTCAAAAGACTATTTCTGTGGTCATAAAAGCCCAAAAATTGGGGAAAGCACTGTTGCTGAATTTATCTTACCTTTCAAGTTTTGAAATTCACGTTCCAGCTTTTTCCTCAGTTCAACTTGCTCTAACAGCTGCTTCTGTAGTTCTTCTAAAAAGCAGACAAAAAATAGAGGACGTTGGAGGAGCAAAAGTACAGCAGGTGTTTGTATCATCTTCCTTCTAGGACAGTTTTCTATTTATAATGACGGTGATGAGGACACCATCATCATTTACACAGCCTATTCAGGGCAGGTCTTGCTGGGCCTACATTAAAAAATACATATCTTTTTAAAATATATGTTTGGGACAAATGCCAAAGAAGCTGACTTATTGCAAAAACTGAGAAATAACAATAATGAACGTCCAATTTCTTTTGAGTTTTGTAAAAAAAACATTTGTTCATATTGTTGTATTAGTTGTATTATAAGATAATTATAAATCATTGTTAAGTGTCTTGTTGACTGTTAATCATTGTATCTAACAGTAAGACATGGTCTTACCTTTTGCCAGACTTTCTATGGCTCTTTGTGCTGGAGGAGCTCTGGCTGGCGCAGCCTCGCCTGAGCACACAGAACATAAATTAAATTCCTGATATTTGCAAAAAATTAAAAAACCTGTATCTCTTAAAACTTAGATTTAATAATAAATAAAATCCTACTCTCTGACCTCGGTGTAACTTACCCTCATCCGGCTCCCGCTGGTTCTCCTCGCTGCTTTGTTCATCACAAGATTTCGTTTCGACCTCCTCCACTGTGGAAGACGGCTCCTCTTTACTTGCACTCTCATCTTAAGAGAAAATAAATCGATGTGATTTTCACCGCCAATTCTTTTTTTTCAAACAGCGATTTTTCTTTACAAAAAGCAGTACAATAAAGTCTAACCATTTGATGTAAGTACTCCAATCTTGTAATTCGCAGGTCTGAGCTGATACGGACTGCTCCTTTGTTGCAGCTCAGCCCTCTCCGGTGTGTACACCTACAGAAGACACAATCACCACTTATTTTAACTCTTAAAATTACAAGACGTTTTACAAATGAATAATAACCAATTAAAATAAAAATCTTAATAAAAATGGCACTCTAAGTTGAAGTGTATATCTTTTTTATTTAAAGTTTTTTTTCTTAAATGTTGTGGACATGCTGCCGCTTTTACACAGTTTTATCATAAAATACACCGTTTAAAACAAAACAAGAACACACATATTTTTCTCTCTGAAAATACACACACAAGTCAAGGAAAGAAGCCCACTTTAGAGAAATGTTACAGCCTGTATTTATCGCCAGTGTCACTCACTTCATTAAAAGACGCAGCTATGTGGGTCTCTGACAGCTGCTTGTTCTGCAGCTCTCTGTCAGAGGACTGGGCCACATGCAGGCTCACTTTCTGGGAGTTCACCGCCTCCTGCAGGCTCCTGGAGTCTGAGTCGGATGGGGAGACACTGTGAGCCCGAGGGGGAGTCCGAGGACACACCGAGGACAGAGGCCGGGAGTCCTCCTCCTCCTTTTCCTCTTCCTCTGGTGTTTTATTAGTCTCTACATCCACGTCCGGCTCGCCCTCACTGTCCACGCAGGGGGACATGGACCGGTAGCTTGAGCTCTCACTTAAAAAATCGGGCGATAAATAGCCAGTGCGACCCCCGTTGAAAGCGCCCCTGTTGCCGTACAGCTTGGCGATGCAGTCCGCGTCTTTAATGACGGGCCTGAAGGCGGACACGTAGCTGATTTTCCGGGAGGCAAGGGTCATCCCCTCCAGAGGCCTCGCCTCGTCCCCGGACTTATCGTCCTCATTACGCGTGGACTGAGTGCTGGAGCACCGGTCGTTTTCTACCATGCTGTCTTTTGAGGTATTGGTGCTCCGGTCGCTGTGCTCGGAGAGCTCCATGTCAGTCTGCCTGGGGGGACACAGCAGCTCTGGCGGGGGTTTGTGCTGAGTCTGGGGGTACGGGGGCATGGGCAGCGCGCCGGTCGCCGGCCAGAATATGGGGAAGGAGGGGTAGGCGCTGTCCTTTGTACCCGGCCACAGGACACCCGGCAGGCCCGCTTTGCTCTGGTCTCCCATCAGGATGTCGTCTTTCTTCTGACACAGGCCAAAAGCTTGAAACCCGTACGGGTGAGGGAAGAGCGGCGGAGGGATCTTTGGCAGCATCCCGAAGCCTTTACTGGGCACAGGGATGATTGGGTAGCTGCGCGTGCTCGACATCCCAACCAGATTGTCCTCGCGGCTGATGATTTTTGCGGGTATGTCGGGTGATTCTCGGGGACGGGATTGTCCATGTGATTTTGAGGAAGAGCTGGAATCTGACCCGTAGCCTGGCAGCGTCCTCTTGCGACTGCCCCCATTGAACATGGCCTTCACGTCTTCCCACGCGTGCATCACATCTTGCTGGCTACCTTTATCTGAAAGTTGAAGATGTCGTCTCCAAGAATTAAAGTTAGCGGCGTCCGGCTGTGTGTACTTGGACTCTGGCGTGCGATGCGAGTGAAATATAAATTTATTTGGAGAGAAATACATGTTGCAGAAGGAGCACTTGATGCACTTGGCCCTGGAGCTGTTGTAGCGCGCCGGGATGAAGTTGCCTCGACTCCCCCACGCGCACTCGTGAGAAACATCAAAAGCGAAATTCTCTGGAAGTTTAGGAGGCGCGTGAGCTCCTAGGAATGATTTACAGAGTCTCTCAGCCTCGCGCTTTGTGATCATCCCGCAGCGCCTGGAGGAGATGGGCATGGCCCCGGCTCTGCGCAGGATCTCCAGCTGCACGGGGGTGCACTGCACGCAGGTGATGCCCAGTGCCACGCGCCGGTTGTGTATCTCGTTATAGCTGTAAGTCTTCAACAGCGTGTTGGATATCTGTGCGAGGCATAGTCTCTCCTGGCCATCTATCACCAAAGACACGATCGGTACTCCGTACAGCACCGTATGTCCCACCTGGTTGGGCTTCAGGTTCTTGGAGTAGGAAAGTTCTTGTTTCGAGGTTGGCGAGGAGCTGGAGTCTCGTCCAGCAGGTATGGAGTCCATCCTTGAAGGCAGCTGCAGAGACGAGGATTGACATTAAGATGTGGGTTTTGTCTCTTTAAAGGAACATTCTAGTTCATTATTTAAAAACAGGTATTCAATTTTCTAAAGATGAAACATCTAGGACATACTATTACCGGCCTCCAATTTAATAAAGTTTGCACGAAGGGATTTTATTAAATATTTAGACTAATCCAAAAATCTAAACACATTTATAACATGTACATTCCTTGTACTTATCACTCCACTTAAATTGCATTGGCCTGAAACGTTAACATATTCTCACTATTAGGCTATAGGTGAAATTCGGAATAAAGTGTCATCATACTAATCTTAAAATATTCTTATAGATGGATTGAAGACATGATCAAACGCTAACATCAAACGCATATACTCTTGAAATCAGTTGCTCAAACTCACCTTAAATGTTCACGCAGCTCCCCTATGTCGTTATTTAGAAAGCTGTGATCAAGTGGAGGTCAGAGAGATGAGAAGTATACTCTCTGATGGATGTAAAGATGCTTTCTTTAGGAGTGGGACGCAGTTGTCCGTGCAGCACCGCCTCCCACCTGCTCGCTGTCCTCCTCTCTCTGCTCCGCGATCGGTGTGTGCATACAGTCTGTGTTGCAGCAGCAGCAGTGTGCACATGGCAGGCAGACTCTGGTACAGCCCCCTATACGACACACACGGCACTCAAGTGACGGCAAAATGTAAGGTGAGGCACTCCCACTCCCACAGACAGCATGCATTAACCATGGTTTCATGACCAATGGAGATGGTTGGAGTGTTGGTCTTATAGCAGCCTACAGGTCCATGGTTGATGCATATGGATGATGTCTACAATTATCAAATAAAACATGTTATAGCCTATTTTGTCAAAATGCAATACAAAAATAAACATTATTTGTCATTACTGTAGGCTGTTGTGTCAAACAATGCATTTTAATTAATCGTTTTCAATTGCATCTTAAAAAATGCTATGTTATTAACATTATGCACGGTGGGAGTTGGCATTGCGCTTAAAAACAGCAGGGACACATTGTGGTGAGCGTGAAGAGAGGGCCCGCTGCTGAATGAGGGTGCAGGGCCTCAACATGTGCTGGTTCCCACGGATTCATCGTTTACCAGCCACACTTCGCCTACATGCGTTTTGACAATAACCAGCTGCTCCAAAGGTCACTCTCTGTGATCTGCGCTTTGTTTTTGCTTTTTTCCCCTTTGGGCTGAAAGGATAAAAGATCAGACAGAGGAACAATGCGCGCAGACTCTCACCATAAACGATGCACGTTTAACTTTTTTAAGTCAATAAAGCTTTGGGTGAATCATCTTCATGCACACGCCGCGCCAAACACTGATGTAATATTGATGAAGAAACAGGACACGTTCCTGTTGGTCCTACTTCAGTGCGAGAGAGCTGGATGGCCATGACAATTTGTCTATAATTATTCTCTAATTTCAAGAGAGGAAAGATGCTTTGTTAATTTAAACATGGGCAGTTTTCAAATACGAGTTAATGAAATATAAAACAAATATGGTCTATTTATACAATAATTGGATCGTAAAACAGTCACAATTTTTTGTTCTTACATTTTTTTTCATCACAACGTATTTAAAATTAAAATTAGGAACCATCACATAAAACTGAATTAATTCCCACATTTTAATTTGTTTTTCATATCTGGAGAAGAACAAAATAATATAACGAAAATATGATATATTATAATATAACAAAATCGTATTTATTTTACAATCACTACCCATTTGCGTTTGGGATTAAACACGTTTTATAACTGGATAATTCTAAAGGAAAATGCAAACCAACTTGGGGCATTAAAGAACATTCTAATTAAGCAGCCATCTCCTCCATCTGCTAATCTATTGATTATTGAACGGATAGGGCCTGTTAAACATCGACTGTCATCAACACACACATCTTAAGTAAAAGTCATTGTTGCCATCAGATAAATCCAAGGCTTTGTTGACAGTGTGAACAACTCAACTGGAATGAAATGGCCTAAAAATCCTGTTCAACTAAATGGACACCAAATAACCCCCCCCAAAACTCACCACAACAGATTAACATGAAATCTATATTTTAAAACTAAATGTAACATTCACAGACTCATTCACTACAGAAAGTGACGTTATATAATTGCCTATGAAAGAAAATGAGAAAAGTAAGCCAAAAAGTCAGTAAGGTCATAATCAGGCTCATGCTTATTCTACCTTTTTGTGCACGAGAGAACAGCTCATTTAAAAGTGTGTCTGCATTAATCACAGTGCTGCATCAAAGTATGATAATCACCTGAACACTCTATTAAAATAAAAGTCCCAGCCCGGGGGAAATCTTACCTTACTCTTTAATTGTTTTGAGGCTTTGATAGGCTTTTTAATCTAAGATTAATTTATGCATTCTTAAATAACTCTACATATGATTAATAAGCTTGAAAATTAAAAGGAGACTGAAGCAATTATAACAAGTGGTTGGTCATCACCTCATTAGATGGTATTAGAAAGATGCAGCTTGTGTGTGTGTGTGTGTGTGTGTGTGTGTGTGTGTGTGTGTGTGTGTGTGTGTGTGTGTGTGTGTGTGTGTGTGTGTGTGTGTGTGTGTGTGCATATGTGTGTGAGTGTGTTTGTGTGTGTATATGTGCATATGTGTGTGTGTTTGTGTGTGTGTCTGTCTGATTGGTTATCACAAAAAATAACAGAAGGGTAAGAGCAAAATATGGAGAGACAGTTTGATGACAATTACAGGCGAAATTGCTGCCGGCTAATTACTATTTTGTATCTTTCCAATATACTGGACGAGTCACAATCATGTATAAGCAAGATTAAATGATAGACAACTTATTTCTACTGGCTTGTTGTCAGTTATAGCAGCACAGATCCTAATCAGGATCAACTCAGACTGTTCACATCATTCACTGTGTTGATCCTGACAGGATTGTGAGCTGCTAAGACAACAAAAGACAAATATCAGCTTTTGGAGAAGCCACTGGAGAGACGCAGTGAAAACAGTGAGACTTGCTAAATGGTTCCTAATGTGTAAAGAAGACATCACTCCTATCCTGCTCGGATGTTTATTTGTCTCCTAAAAGCCCACCCCTGGGTCCTGACCCCCACATCCTCCACCGCTAAACGGAACATTTATTCTCACAGGAGGAGGTTTCAGTATGTGTGTGTGTGTGTGCACTATGTGTGTGAAGGGGGGGGGTTCATCACTGCATCAAATGAGGCTGAGCGCAGGGACCCTTTTGTCACAGGCAGGGACTCATCTGCCAATAGTAAGCTGTGAGGTCCTAGGGGAAGGCTGGAACAAAGGTGCTAAAAGGCTGTGTGACAATGAGGGTGCTCCGAGGAGAGCCTTCAAGTGCGGGACGCAGGCTGCACGGGACAAGCTGTGCCAATCACTCCGCAATTACTTTTTTGTGTCAATCCAGAGGCCTTGTGTGGGCATTCATGAGGAGACGCAAGGACACGAGCAGCCACGGCCAGGTCCCTGTCTCTCTGCTGCTTACAGAGAGCTGACCCTAAGCCTCATGGCATACTTGTGTAGCAAATCACCTGCTCTTCTGTTGATTTAAAACTGACAAGAAAACCTCTGACACATTCAGCCTCTTTTCACTGTAGACCCTGCACCCATTAGAGGAGAACATAACATTTTAAGCCAGAAGGTTTATCTTTCAAATGTAGAAATGATTTGTGTAAAAACAAATACAAAAGCATAAAATAGGACAACCTTATTGGAGATATTAATAAAAGTGGATTTCTTTCACAATTTCTTTTTTACCAGATTACATGATTCTGATCCCTGTAGCCTCCTCTTATCTCTCTGTGTTCAAATATTGTATTACAACTGTTGTTAAAGTATTTAGCTTTCATCTGAGATCTGGTTTATTATCTTCCATTTGACACTAGGTCTTGGCAATAAAGCCATAGTCTATATTACAGTAATGATGACATATCTTGCTTGAACAAAATGGCAATTATTTTCTAAACTACAAAGAAAATAACGTAATTTGTATTAAACGCATTTCACATTATGTGTCACACGGTTTTGGATGAGACAAAAGTGTATATGTATAAAAGCTTTGAGGTTCATTCTTGAACTTGGAAAAAGTGGTTGACGATAAATCTCGCCACAAAGTCCATAGTCAACTCATTTAGTTAATTTTACATTTCTTGAAATGAGTAATTGCAAATAAAAACCTAGATTTGTAAAACTTACACAACATAATGATATTGACTATCATTAAGTCCTGTTTACAACAAATAAGCACAAATACAATAGCAAAAACAGGCCTCTACTGCTGATTCATAATGACAACCCTTAAGTTTAATTGTCATTAAACCGAGTGCCTCTGTGTTTATTTGGAGAGTTTAAGTTTTGTGTTTCAACACTGTATGTGCTACAGTGTAATAAAGAAAGATGCAAGAATGTGTCTATATCCAACCCCGAGCAGTTTTCAATGGTGTAATGAGGAGTCAAGTGAGAATGGGAATTATCGTAATGATAACAAAGGTCTATGCACCATAGCTTGGGGCTATATTGCAGGGCATTACCATAAAGATGTGATGTGCTTGTATTGCAGGGTTTTTGTGAGGGAACAGGCCAAAGAGATAATAACTATTAGTAGATGACAGTGCTTTGTGGGATTCCAGCTGTGGAGCCCAAATTTCCATACAGATAGAATGGCTCTGGGTGGATGATATGTGTGTGTGTGGGGGGGGAAGGGCTGGGCGACTCAGTGGACTCATCACACACACACACACACACACACACACACACACACACACACACACACACACACACACACACACACACACACACACACACACACACACACACACACACACACACACACACACACACACACACACACACACACACACACACACACACACACACACACACACACACACACACACACACACACACACACACACACACACACACACACACACACACACACACACACACACACACACACACACACACACACACACACACACACACACACACACACACACACACACACACACACACACACACACACACACACACACACACACACACACACACACACACACACACACAATAGTCTGCATGTGACAAATCTCAGTGTTGGACTGAGTCCTGGTGTCCCCAGTCAGACTTTGGGGCGAGGTGAGAGCCTCGGGTTTGAACACTCTGCAGGTCTCTGTGGAGGAACTGTCCAGAGTCCTGAAGCAACACTGCTCTATGCTGACAGCTTTCAAAGTCAGGAAGTGCAAATAGCTAGGGCTTTCTGTGTGTGTTTGTGGGTGTGTGTGAACAGAGGACCAGAGATTTCCATCAAGATCACATGCAGGTGAGAGGGTGTGCAACATACTTGTCAGCACCAGGGATTGGGGGAAACCTTGCCTTACAAACAAGTAAAAGCCCTCCTCCAAAATAAATCTGCCCTTTCAAGGACTAACAGTTTCAAAAGCACACACGTCCCAAAAATATACATCCAACATGGGGGTAATGTTGTTGCCAATACTTTAAAGGAATAACTCAACATAATCAGAAAGACAACATAATTCAAACATAGAACATGTATCAATATTTCTGTGTTGACCACTTTGGATGTGGGCTTGAAAACAAAGGTTACAAACGATATACTTTAGTAG